CAACAATTACACAATTTACTTTAATTTTTTTTTTGTTTCCAATTATGATATAATAAATTTGATAAATAACATTAGAAGAAGTAAAAAAAATATTTTTATGGATGAAATAAAAATTTTATTTAATCAATCACAAATTATTATATATTTACAAACATAATTTCTTTTTATTATTTAATATATGACATGTTTATCAATATTTAAAATTCAATATGTATTTAAAATTAAAATAAAATCTTACTCTGTTTACCCTCTTTTAAGTATATACTGATCGGATTTGTTTATAAAATATAATAAATATACATTTAAAATAAAAGTAAAAGAAATATATAATTTATTTATTTATTAAATTTAAATTATTTATTTTTAAAATGGATAGATAAAAAAAATGTCATTAAAACTCGGGTAAAATTTTTAATATTATATTTTATAATTTTTTTTTTGTTCAAAAAAATATAAATTAATTTTGTGGGATCCAATATTTGTTTGAGCATCCTGGAGCTCTGTTTCATCCAGAAAAAATGCCGGCAATTAAATATTACTTTACAGTAGGAGAAGGTTCTAAGTAGTAAATCCCACTCAGGATTTGTATATTATTCACAATTCAGTTCTGATAAAAGCCTTAAAATTCCTAAAAAATGTATGTAAAATTTTAGCTAAATTTTTGCCCCTATCTCCCTCACTCCTAATTATCTACTATTCCTCTAGTCGACTCATGTATATAACTCGTATTGACTTAAGTTGGTAGTCCTAAGTAAAATATATACAGAACAAATGTTTTATTAATTTAATAACTAATTTGAAATACTCGTCCGCTACTCGACTCAAGTATATAATTCGTCGACTTAAGTTGGAAGTCCAAAGTATAAAAATGTAAATAACACGACAAATATCTTAATTAATAATAATTAATTTGAAATATTAGTCCTCTAGTATACTCAAGTTGACGACTCAAATTCATAAAAATATTCGTCGCGGACTTAAGTATATAGACTTGAGTTCACGGACCGAATACATAACTTAAGTCAATCTGAGTCGAATTTTTCGACCCGAAACTTGACTCGGTAGATTAACAACACTAGTGCCATGTTTTTTTTTATTGATATAATTGTATCGAAAAATTATTATGATTAATTATTATTATTGATTATTATAATATTTTTGAAAAATCGAAAATGTTAATGTATTTTATTTTTATCTGTGATAAAATTGAAAATAGATAAAAAAATATATATATATTAATTTTTTATTAATAAAATTAAAAATCATGGAAATAACTTTTCGAAACAATCATAAACGCTACGTTAATTTGCAGCATAGAATTTAAGAGTTAACATCTTTACTTGATATGTTTACAGTAATTTAAAAAGTCTGTTTAATTCAGCTTCGACTTTTCGACGCAGCGAAATAGAACTCTTTTTTCTAGTAAAGCTTCGGTAACGCATTGGGTTCTATGTGCGGATAACTTCAAGTTGGAGTTTAAAATTTCATTGAATAAAAATAATGCTAACAATTTTTTTTTATTATTTTACATTTTTAAAAATATATAGCGCCACCCAACGGATATTATCTCATCAAAGTTTATAATTATATTAACAGTAATTTTTATTTGGATAAAATGTTAATAATATTTTTAATTAGGTTATATGTAAAAATTAAATAAGATAATATACGTAATAAAGATATAATAGATACATTAAAAAAAAAAAATTACTATATAAAAAAATATCCGGATTATTATATAAGTATCAATCTAAAAATATATCACGACCAAAACCTCCAAACGAAATAAGTATAATGGCAAAATATACTGATGATAAGGAACTGAATAAATAAATAAATAGCGATGATATTGTGATAAGCGCTAAAAAAACAATTTTTATAATTATTATTGATTTTCTTAAAATATTAATTTTCTTGTATATTTTTTTGTGTTAAAAGAAATAAAAAATTACCGAATTGGAAGTAAGCGAAAAATAAATAAATTGAAAATAAGAAGAAGAAAAAGGTTTTTTTTTTAAAATATTTGTGTAACCTGTAAATCCTAAACTAGAATGATTTATTAGGAACCCTGTCCTAGATTTTATTCTACGATGTGAACCTTGTGACAGAATAAATTTTCTTTATAATAATTTTTTTTTTACCCCAGAATAAGAAAATTCTATGTTGCACCATTTGTTTGGGTTCAAAATTCAAGCTCAGATTATTTTCTTTTTCTTCAATTCAACAATTCAACATTTAGTTAAGATAGATTAAGAAAATAATATTTTATAAATAAAGCGAGTTAGTGTTCTTAAATTACCTTACTTTGACCATCTCTATTGTGGTCTAGTCAAGCTTTAAGCCTAAAAAATTCAAATAATAAGTCTCAACTCGAAGATTGTGATTCAAATATTTTTTATAAACATGGCTACGCTGCTTTATAGTTGACTAAAGTTAGGTAGTATAAAAATACTGAAGTGAGTGATAATCCAAATTTTAATGGCAACATCTGCTAAGTCTTTAGATTTATCATACAAAAAATTAGTTTGAACTTTAATTTTAATAGAACTTAAAAATTCTAATACTAAAAAAACATTTCCAAGTGGGAATGAGGAGTCAAGTACTAACGAGGTACCTCCTGTTTGTAAAAATATGATGATATCGAAAAGATATATATGATAATTTAAATTCACCTGTGAGTGAAATTAGAAAGCAAATATCTGAGATTATGATTTGATTAACCTTGTGGAGGTTGTGAAAAGTAATAGTAATAGTGTTACTAATAATGTTAAGCAAAGTGAAAACGATTGATTCTATGTGAGATCAGAAAGTTTAAAGAAACTTTGCTTAGAAATAAAAATAATAGTTTTAGTGAAGATATCAATTTTTGTGGCCTAAGAGGTCATAGTGAAAATTTTTTTTTTTTAGCGTGATCAAAAAATTAATGAAAATGTGAACACAAAAATATATGATAAAAATGATAAGATTTATCATAGAATGTGGCTTCTCAGGTTATGTAAAAAGAAATTGCATGGCCAAAGAAGTAAATTTTAAAGATAGTTTCCCAATGAGACCACCAGTATTGATAAATCTGGTGGTTCATAACATTATTTTCAAATCTAAGTGAAAAAGTTATGTATAATATGGATAGTACTCGAATTTACTTCAAATGTGAAGAAATGTGTCATATAACTACTAATCGTGCTCAATTTATGAGTGGATTGCGATGACTATATGATTCGCGAGAAAAGTCATATAAAAATTGAAAAATTCATATATTTATAATACCAAAATTTTTAGTATACATGTATATAGTGTTGTTAAAAATTCCTGGGATATATTTAATAAAAAAAGACAATGATAAATTGTTAATCAAATTAACTGGTCATTTTGATGAAATAAAAATTTTTTAATTTAATTATAATTTGAATAAAAGAGATCATTGTAATAAGATAGGTGAGAAATATCCATGGGGAATTTATAATAAAAAAAGAATTATTGATATTCGGATGCATTAAATTCAGGGACGCGTTTAGGTATGAATATTAATTATATTGAAAGTGAAAAATTCAAAATATAATAAATATAATTTCAGCTGATTAGAATGCATAAAATTGTAATGACTTGAAAGAGAGGATTGACAGTGTTCATGCTATCGTATTAATGTAAAAATTGATAGACAAAATATCGAGATGTTATTTGATACTGGGGCAAGTATTTCAGTAATGCCTGGCCTGAGGTTGCATTTGAAAAAGAATCTATGTGAGTGAGACAATTTTGAAGGATCTAAAATTGTGATTGGGATTACAACAAGATCGGGAGTTGGTTATCAGTGGAACATATGTTCTTGATTTATGGTTAGTAGAAAAAAAAATGTTGAAACTATTATGGGTTTGAGATTGGATTATCAAACTTAGTCCTCGTAACAATTATCGGAATATTTTTTACAATAAATAGTGATTTCATATTAAATAATGCCAAACGAAAAATGATTGCGGATAACATCCGAAATAAAATTGGCCAAATAGAAATGACGGATTTAATGAGAGAGGAAGTGAATCCCCTCTTTTTAATTCTGATATGTGTGAAATTTCCAATAAATAAATTGTTAAATGGGATAATAATATATAACGCCAACTAGCGGATATTATCTCATCAATTTTATTTTTATAAAATGTTACAATACTATATAAAAAAATGTGATTTATACCCTCGAAATTGAATTTTTTAGGCTAAAAGCTTAGGCAACAATAGAGATGTTGCGTTATTCCTTTATCTTATTTTTTGTTTTTTGCATTTGAACTTTTATTATTTTTGTTATAATCTAATTTTATTTTATAAACGGCGTAACCTTACTTTTTTATATATTATTTTACTTTTTTGTATTTCGTTTTATATTCTAATTTATATGTTAGAAAATGTATAAATACCTTAACAAAAGAAAAAGAAATTAGTTAATAAAAATATATTTTTTATTTAATAAAGTTAATAAAACTTATTTATTATTCACCGGCACATATTCATGTTATTCTACATGGTGCCTCCAGTTTTGGCAAAAGAAACTCGCCTTATGGAAAATTTTTTTAAAAATAAAATTTTTTTTCCTTTGTAAATATGGTTAATAAAAAAAATTATAAAATGGTACAAACAATTCTATATAAGATGGATAAAAAAAGGGTAAGTCATTTCAAAATTATTTTCATCAATTATGTTCGCCTTCAAACTACTTAATGTACCCCATCAAATCTCCATATACGATATTTTGTTTGAGTTAACCTATAATTCCGATGTCAACTTTTATAGGATAGACGGTACGGAGGACGTGTTGTTTGAATTTATGAACTTAAGAGATATGATTAATTGTTTCGAATTGTTAAATGGGAAACATTACATTTATGGTGACAATGATTTCATTGAATTAATCTGTATATTTACCAAAACATGAATAGCTATACCAAAAATTTGAATTGATAAAATAATAAATGTTATAATTGCTTATTTATGTGTCTTATTAATTAAATATGGAAATTAAACAAGAATTTACACATAAGATCCCTAAGTTAGTGGGTCCTCTTACTGAAATTTATTTAGACAGAATATTAAATTACTTTTCGACCAGTACATTATCGGACTCTATTAAAATTAATACTTTGCTTAATAATATATCAGACAAAGTTTTTGACGACATTAAGGCAATTTGTTCTGATACCGATATTTTAGATCTTAAAATTGTGATTAAAAAGTTAACCTATCTTTTACCAGCGCTAAATTTAAATACTTTAATTAATAAATTTAATCTTCTTCAACAAAACTCATCAGAGAGTTTTATGCTGTGGTACATTAGAGTATCGAAACTTCATAAGAAATGTAATTTTTTGGACGATAGTAGATTAAAAGAGAAATTACGGACATCTACTTTAAACGATAAAATTAAATACAAATTCTCCAAAAATTTGGACCTTACATTGAATCAGATGGTGGAATTAGGGGTGAAACTGGACTCTAGTAATATTAAGTCTGAGGATAATGATATAAGTTATATAAATAATGACAAAAAGTCCGATAAAGATAAAAATTTTTGCAGTAGAAATGATAATAATTTTAGAAATAATTATGATAATAGATATAGAAATGGGAATTACAATAATAATTTTAGATACAATTATGGTAATAATAATTCGCGATACCACGATAATTATAACAATTATAACTATAACAATTATCGCTATAATAATAATAATCAATCGAATTTTGGTAGAAATAATACATGGTATGATTATAATCAAAGAAAACAAATCCAATACGGTGACGGAAATCGTAACAATTACCAATCTTATTACAACAACTCAGATAATTATAGAGGTAATGATAAGTATCAGAGAAAGCAAATACAATATAACAACAACTCAAATAATTATAGAGGTAATGATAATATTCAGAGAAAGCAAATACAATATAATAACAACTCAAATAATTATAGAAGTGGCGACGAAAATAGAAAGCAAATACAATACAATAATGATTACAACATGAATATTGAAGAAATTATTGAAGAGAAAGTTGATTCTACAAAGAACAAAGATGATAATGATTTTAATGTCAACAATTTATCTGGTGACGTGATTAATGACAAAGATAACGCATTTATGACTACTGTAAAAGTGAACGATGTTGTTACTTGTATGCAAGTGGACACTGGATCCAAATACACTATCATACCTCATGGTCTGGCTAAAAAACTTGGTATTAGAGATCTTAAGAAATCCGAGCTACAACTCACTGCTTATGACGGGAATTTAATCAAAATCATAGGAATTACTCAAGTTAAAGTGACTTATGATGGTATGTCCAAATATTTACAAGCGGTAGTGGTTGAATCAAGTAAAAATGCTTTGTTGGGACGTATGTGGATCAATGCTTTCAAAAATATTTTAAATAAATTTATAGCAAATATTGACACTAATTACGAAGATGAAATAAAAAAATTGATTAAAGAGTGTGAATCGAAATTGACTAATGGGCCAATTAACAAAGCAAGTGTCAAGTTACATTTAAAAAATGATGCCCAACCTAAAATTATACCGCCTAGACGTATACCTTATTCAAAAATTGATCTTGTTAGTAAAGAACTCAAGAAATGGATACATGATAAAATAATTGAGCCGGTGAATGATGTCCGATGGGCAAGTCCTGTTACCGCTGTCTATAAAGAAGATGGGAGCATTAGGCTTTGCGCTGATTTTAAGGATACTGTAAACCCAGCTCTAGAAGACTTTAGATACCCTCTACCACGAATTAATGATCTAATTGCTAAACTTTCGGAAGGAAAGAAATTTACGAAGATTGACTTTAAAAATGCTTTCTTACAGATTCCAATTGATAAAAGTTGCAGAAATATTTTAACCATATCTACGCATAAGGGATATTACAAATTTACTAGACTTCCTTTTGGGCTTAAGACCTCATCTGCAATTTTTCAACAGATTATGGATCAAATCTTCGGGGACATGGATGACGTTATATTTTATATTGATGATTTACTTATAACTGGAAAAAACGATGAAGCCCACCTAAACAACATAAAAAAAGTGTTTGATAGAATATCATCGTTTGGGCTAATACCTAACTTTAATAAAAGTGTGTTCTTTAAAAACAAAGTGAGGTTCCTGGGTCATGATATTGACGCTAAGGGGATTCATGCTAATCACGACAAAATTGAAGCAATAATTAATATGCCAGAACCAAAATCAGCTGCTGAATTATCAACATTTCTGGGTATGGCTGGCTACTATAGAAAATTTTTGAACAATTTTGCGGAAATTGCCGATCCTCTTTATAAGATTGTCAATAAAGAAAAATGGGCTTGGAATCTAGAACACTCTAAAAGTTTTAATGATCTAAAGAAGTTAATTAGTCTTCCACCTGCTTTGACATATTTTAACCCTGAATTACCTATTGGGATAGCCACTGACGCATCAAAATGTGGTTTAGGAGCTGTTCTATTTCATATTGAAAAAGATGGTAAAGAAAAACCTATAGCTTTCGCGTCGAGAACTTTATTAAAATCTGAAATGAATTATACCAATATTGAGCGTGAAGCTCTCGCTATAATGTTCGCCATAAAGAGATTTCAGGAATATTTAATCGGCACAAAATTTACAATTATTACTGACCATAAGCCTCTAGTTCACATCTTCACCAAGGGTCTTAAGGATAATAGCACCATGTCATTAAGACTCCAGAAGTGGAATATTACATTAGGAGGATATGATTTTTATATAAAGTATAAAGCCGGTAAATATAATGTTGTTCCTGATTGCCTTTCAAGATTACCACAAGAATGTCGTGATGAAACTATTGAAAATGTAACTATTATAAATGAATATGAGGACTTACCTATTAACTTTGATCAAATCCGTGATGAAACTTTGAAAGATACGGAATTAAAACAAGTCATAAATGATATTAATAACAACAGACCTATAATGAATAATATTTATAAAAACATTGAATTGGAATTAAGTATAATTAAAGATTGTCTTTACAAAAGCAATAAAATTATAATTCCGTCTTCTATGAGAAAAACTATACTACAGTCATTACATGAAGGTCACTTGGGAGCAGGAAAAATCAAATCCTTAGCCAAAGATTACATGTGGTGGCCTGGCATAAATAATGATATTGTTATGGAAGTGAAAAGTTGTGACGATTGTAATATATATCACGATAATCCTATAAAGATACAAAAACCATGGGTTTCGGCAACTAAACCGTTTGAAAGGATACATATAGATTATGCGGGTCCGTTTTTCACAAAAAATTGGTTGATAATAGTCGATGCCTACAGCAAATTTCCAATTATTATTCCTGTTAAAAATATTACGACTAATGTTACTTTAAAAGAAATCTTTAAAACTATTTCGCTATACGGAATACCTGAAACTATAGTTACTGATAACGGTACTAACTTTACGAGTAATGATTTTGAAAAATTTTGCAACAATTTTGGTATTAAACATGTGCTTACATCTGCTTATCACCAGCAATCCAATGGCCAGGTTGAACGCATGGTTAGAACGTTCAAAACACATATGAAAAGGAATATTAAAATAGACCCAGATATCGCACTTAGCAAATTTTTACTTAATTACAGAAATACGCGTAATGATACTACAGGAGTTACACCATCACAGAGAATGTTTAATCGAGATATTAGAATTAAATGGGACTTATTAAAACCGATGGAGGAAAAGAAGAATAAAATAAACGTTACTTTACCACGAAATAGAACTTTTAACGTAGGAGATTTTGTTTGGTATAAAATACAAGGTAATGATAAATGGTGCAAAGGTATAATCACACATAAGGAAAGTGATATGATGTTCCAAATTAAGACTGAGAAAGGTATTTTGAGGAGACATTTAGATCAAATAAGAATTAGAAACTGTTTTAACACAATTATTAACTATGACTCTAAGGATTCTTTTAAGGAGGGAAGTATGGACAAAAATATAAAAATTACTGATAATAACGATATAACACCTATCTCTAGACCTGTGCGAATAAAAAAAAACCTGTTTATTTAAAAGACTATGTAACTTAAAATATAAAATAAATGTTAAATTGCATAAACTAAATTAAATATTAAAACGCTTATATTAAAACGCTAAAAATATAACAATCTTATTGATTTATCATTCTTCATTTATTCTTATGACGAACTATTATTTCTTATTGGCAACTTATTTATTATAATAACAATTTTGGAAAAATGATAATAACAATTGAGTACTATCAAACAAGCTATGATTAATGGAGACAATTTACGATATGGATATCAAGCTTGCGATTTAAACAAACCACCGTGCAAAATCGATTTATACAAACCAACGATTGGACAAGCCAACGTTATGATGATTTGTGATACAACTTGATTACCAAAATTATAAACCACTTGAACAACAAACTCTCTATGACTTCTCCGATGAAATTATCAGAAGAGGGAGAATGTTGCGTTATTCCTTTATCTTATTTTTTGTTTTTTGCATTTGAACTTTTATTATTTTTGTTATAATCTAATTTTATTTTATAAACGGCGTAACCTTACTTTTTTATATATTATTTTACTTTTTTGTATTTCGTTTTATATTCTAATTTATATGTTAGAAAATGTATAAATACCTTAACAAAAGAAAAAGAAATTAGTTAATAAAAATATATTTTTTATTTAATAAAGTTAATAAAACTTATTTATTATTCACCGGCACATATTCATGTTATTCTACAAGAGATGGCCAGGTAATTTAACAAAACTAACTCACTTTAAATAAAATGATAATATACAATGTTTAATCTAAAAAATTATTTTATTATTATGTTATTGATTTTTTATCTCAGTCAGCCAGAATTGAGCTAATAAGTCATTTATGCAATAGTAAGAGTAACACTATAGATAGCTGTTAAAAATAGAATTATTCTAACGTATAATTTAAATTAGGTAACATATATATTGATAAAAATGCTTGGCTATCAAAGTATTGGCTAATATCTAATTTTCAAGGATAATATTAGACACCTTCACTAATAACTTGTTTCATAAAATTTTAAATATAGTCATTATTGTAACTATTACTTTTAATATTGATGAGTATCCATTTTGAATTTTTAGATAATTATTTCCGTTATCCAAATAAAATAATTATAAAACGAATATTTATAAACGAGCGCTTTCGTAATTTTATTTATTTATTTACATAAAAATAAATATATGACGTATTTTTGCGTGCTTGTTAATTTATGAAAAACATGGAAAAAATAGTGCACGCTTACCGTGCATTAATTAGCCTAAATGTATTAGTATAAATATTTTAATTAAATAAATTCACAATTCTCAGAATCTACTTTATATTCTTTAACCTCCAGGTCACGCGTAATAATTACTCCCTTGTTTTAGCCTTCTTATAATTATTTCGAAACTTCAACATTTCTTCAAAAATTTTATTTTGAATTTAAATGATAAAATTCACATATACCCATTTTCTGTGATTTAAACAAATATACACCAATTTTTAACAGTTTTTTTTATTATAAAAATTTATATTGTGTAACGAATAAAACCATAATACTTAATCAGAATAAAAAATAGAACACGTTTTATTTTGTTGTATCTTATTATTATCATAAATTAAAAATTGTATTTTTAAAATAAAATTAATTTGACTAAATATATAAGAAATTTGCCGGCTTAAATCTGTTCGTAACTTAATAAAATTAAAAAAATGACTCCTTTTTTTTTATTAATTATAATAAAAATCGTTAAACTTTTTATAATTGACAAGATATGGGCAATATGGAATGTTATTTTCGACATATAGCAATTTATATATATTTAATAAATAATATTTTTTCGTCATAAATAACTATATATTATGAATTTTTGTCGCGGTTGTCGTTTATTTTCGAAATGGACAGACTAATATTTACGCTAACAAATTCGCTTGTCTTCCAATACTGTATTAATAAAAAAAAAATTAAGTTAGGAAATTGAAGCTTGAAAACGATTTAAACTGAACGAGACCGGGGCAACCATTAGCCCCCCCCCCCCGATACGTGTTTTTTAAATTTCGTGATTAGGTATTACTATTTTTTGTTTTGTTTTGTTTTAAAAAAAAAAATTCCCACGCAAAGAAGATAAACGTCGGTAAAAAAGAAATAACTGTCAATTCAACGAATCCCAAATCATATCGTAACTTTGCGCGTTATCAGCCGAGACGCCGAATTTTCTAAAGTTATTTTGATAATATAAGAGTTCGGATATAACGACCCCAGCCCGGGGACCCCCATCGTTTACGATGTTGAGGGAACTTATCTTGTATTTGATCAATCGCTTGAGTGACGTGTCAATCTTGATCATGATGATCTTATAAAGTTAATAGGGTTTATAATAAAAAAAATGTTAGGATTTAAAAAAGTAAAATAAATGAAGAAAAAAAATTAAATAAATATACGATCTTTAATGCTTTTGACCAAACCCCTTATATAAAAACTTGGAAGATTAACGATAAATCTTTTGGCAATTCGAACACCACGATTTTTTAAATTTGTTTTATGATTATCAGAGTTGTTAAAAGATACTTTTGAATTGGATCTAGATACAGATACATCGTCTAAAATAATATCTAGATACATAGATTTTAATCAAAAATCTATCTAGATACAGATACAGATATCACATTTTTATATCTAGATACTTTAACAACTCTGATGATTATATATATATATACATATTATACTTTTAAAGAATCGGACGGAACGATGGTATTGATGGTGGAGTAAAAAATTTCCAATTGTTTTATTATGCTAATGAAAACGGAAGACGGTGTCGGAGCTTTGACTTCCCACTTTGTGTGAGAGAGAGAGAATAATATTAAAATCGATATGTATAAATATGGTGAAAATCCGCGATAAATCACCACGGAGTTACAGACAGGACTCCCTCAAATTTTTTTCTTCTAGCGGCTGAGATACGGGTTCTCTAAAGGGGTCGAAAAACCTGGGCATTATGGGCTAATGTTCTCCCAATTTAATTTTTTCGATATAATTAAGCTTAGAAGTTAGTTTTGTTAAAAATTTGACGATTTTTTTTAAAAATAACTCAATATTTTATCCATAAAAATATTATGCGAGCCTAAAGATTTTGCGGCACATTTGCGAAATCTCGCGCTTAGGCAATATTCTCCTGGCTATAATGATGAGTTAGCCGTTTAAAATAACAACACTACTTAGAAGCGTCATTTAAATTTTTTTTAAAATATATAGTAGGACCTTTTAATTAAAAAAATGTTAAAGATTATTTAAAACAAAAAGAATCTAAATGTCAAAAAACCGGAGGATGCTGTCATCGTGTCTAAAACGCTGCGCATGTCTTGTTCAATTTATAATCTAAACTAAAAAAAAATGATTTTAATTTCTTAAAATCAAAATATATCGAAAATATTTTTTTTATATTTTTGATGGCGCTAGTAATGAAATATAAAAATTACAAAAATAATTTTTCATAATCTTTCTCCCAATCACTCGAGGTTGACATCGAATATAAAGGAGATCATACCTTGTGCCAGACAAATTTAAATAAAAATTAATTTTAAATTTATTGTCCTCTTTTCAATTATAAGATCTAAAAAATTTGCCTAGTGTAGTTAAATTTAGTGTTGTTAAACGGCTCGTTTTGAGCCGATTTTTAATAACGGCTAACTCAATACTTCATCTAGAATAATATTACCCCTGAAGATTTTGTTTGTAGATGGAACAAAAGTTTGGCCATCTATTAGAAAAATCTCGAGGCAGGCAATTATTTTTCCGGCTAAAATGTCGAGTTAGCGGTTTTTAAAAAATCAGCTCAAAACGAGCCGTTTAACGACACTAGTTAAATTATCTAACCTTGACCATGTGACCTAGTCAAACTTTTAGCCTGAAAAATTTTTTGGTTAAAAAGATGGCTACTAGGTAATTTAACAATACTAAATATGCCGATATATTCTATTATGTTGGTGTTCTGGATTACGTCGCCCATAGCCACCAGCTGACGATTAAGATTTTTTTTAAAAAAAAAATTTTCCTCTGGCCGTACCCAATAAAAGTGGAGACTGTTTTCGTAAAAAACATTTAATCGAATTTGATCGCTCGTAAATTTAAAATATTAAAGCTGAACCTTTCCAAAATGAACAAACCACTCCATCAGGACAAATTTAAAACGTAGCTAATAAAAAAATTAGCGTTTAGGATGTTGTTCAATCACAACGGAGATCGAGAAAACTTATCGATAAACAATTGTGATAGGCATATCACAGATGCGCCATTTATAATATTTTGTTCCGTTTTAAATGGCGATTTCCAGGGGGTAGCCATTTTCCCCATACTGATATTTTCTTCTCTATTTGACGATCATGAGCATCGTTCATTTTTCTCATATCCGCCGCTGTCAACCTTTATCCACGTCAATCTTAGACCTTCTTCGAAATCTTGATTTTTATCAAAGGTGCATCTCTGATATGCTTATCACAATGGTGTTTTTTGATAAATTTTCTAATAACGGTGTGATTGTAACATCCTAACGTTATTAATTTTATCAGATAAAATTTGATTTGCCGCTAATAGGGGTGGTTGTTCTTTTTCGATAAATGCAGCTTTCATATTTTATTATCTATTTTTTAAAAAATGGAAATAGATTGAAAATTGATTTAAATTTTAAATGAAAAAAATATCTTTCGAAACCTGAAACGTATTTCAGACATGTAAAAGTATCGTGCATTTATACTAATAACAAAGAAGAGAAGAGAGGAGAAGATCTCTTCTCTTCTCCCAGAATAATACATTTGAAAGAGTCGTTGAATGCAAATCAGCTGGACACGCCATTTTGGTAACTCATATACTAATTATTCTCATGTTAAAAAACTACTATTAAATTGAGAACTTGCTTCCTTAATTATCTCGATGATAGGGCAATTCTTTAATAAAGTTTGCGTCTGATATAGTTTAAAATTTTTAATAATGATTATGGGGTAATTAAAATGGCGTCCCCAGCTGTTTTTCATTGATGTACACTTTATGACCGCATCGTCATTCTAGGTATTATTGTCATATGTCAATTGGTTTATAACCACTCCTCATGGAAAATAAAATTTTAAAGTCTAATATTTCATAATCGCGAAAATTATTTAATTAAACACGCAAATTGTTTATAAAAATTAATATTTTTTGTTCTTCAAAAATAAAAAATAAATATATTATAATGCAAAATTGATTTGTATTTTTGTAGCTAATCAAATAAATCAATCATATTTCCCTAGTCTTATTAAAACGCCGCGAGTCGCAACCGCGACCCAAAGTTCGGGTCGTTTTATTCGATTCCGACTTTGGGGTCGTTTTTTGGACATCGACCCGAGTTCAAGCCGAAAAACGACCTCGGCTAAAAATACGGGTCGTTTTTATCGACTCAGACTTGAAGTTTGGGTCAACTCTGTTCGAGCCGACTCGACTAAGCCGATTAACAACACTAATAGCCCCCTAGCCTCACGATACTTTTTTTTCTCATCTTAAATAACTAACATTTTTTATTAAAACATAAAATATTTGATAGGCTAGGCTATATTGATTTATATTTATGACTAAAATGAATAATTTTTCAATGTGAGGATTAAAATGTCCTATATCCTAAACCTGTGCCTCGGGCCAACTTAAAAATTTTGCGTATTTATTAAACTATTCCTTATAAGATTAATCGTAAAAAGAAAAAAAAGCCGATGTGATTTTATGATCATTTCCGGTTTTCTATTTTCGGTTTTTGACATTTAGATTTTATTTTTAAAAAACAATCTTTAACATTATATAACTTTAAAGGTATTACCATTTTGGCTATGTAGAAAAAAAATATTTAAATGACGCCTCTTAGCTTAATTATATCCAAAATTAAGGGAAGAGCGTTGAGCGTTAGAGGGCCCGTATCTCAACAGCTGTTTAGAAATTAAGAGAAGTGGGGCTAAAGTTTTATTTTTTTTTGTTCTTAGATATAATATGAATTCGCCATTATATACGCGTCTTATTGGAATATGGAATCCATTGTGATTAGCAACCTCTCGGAAAATCAATCACTCGAAAGGGGAATTTTGAGATTTATTTTTTAAAAAAAAACATTTTTATTTAAACCGGAAATGTATTCCAAAAAGTATAGACAGAGCACCCACACTGCGAGTAAAATTTCGGATAATTTAATACCAAAAAATCCCCCCCCCCCCAATTTAAATTGAATAATAAAAACTGAGAGATTTAATAATCCCGATTGATTTCCATAATCCCAAAATAAGACATATATAAATACAGTGATGAAAGCGTAGTTGGTTTTTTTACTACTCAAGACTTTGTCTCTTGTTTTGAGTAAAAATGCACAGGGTACTGAGTCTTCGTTAGATTTAAAGAAGAAAAGAAAAGTTGTTCTCATTTCATCTGGCAACCGTTGCTGGAGCTAGTATTATTAAACGGCTCTGAGCCATTTTTAAAAATGGCTGACTCAATACTGCACCCAGAATAATATTACCTTAGCCTCGAGATTTGGATAAATTTATGTCTAGAACCTTTGTTCCTTCTATGGGCAAAATCTTGAGGGTTGTTATAATATTTTTCTGGTTGAAATATTGAGTTAGCCGTTAAAAAATCGGCTCAAAACCAGCCGTTTAACAACACTAGCTTAATCTGAAGTTAGGATAAAAAAGCGTTAGATTACTTTTTCTTCTACTTAACTCTTTTTTTTTGTTATGGTTGCTAGCAGGTGTAGAATATTTACTAGGGATGTACCGATATTTTTTATCGGATCGTATCGGGCCGATATTTCACCTATTATAAAATATCGGTTATCGGCCAATATTAAAAAAGTTACCGATCCGATCCGATATAAAATGGCGCGTCCTTAACAAAAATAAAATGTTATAAATTTTTTAAAAAACTTATATCGAAAATCATTTATTTTTATAAATAAAATTGAAATCCATATTTTTTTAATAATAATAATAATAATTAATTAATAAACATTCTGCCATATTGTTATTTTTTTGCCCATTCTGTTTATAAAAGTGTGCAATAATCTCTTTAGAATCTTTTTTAGTGAAGCTGGTGATATTGACAGTTACCATCGCCGCAGGCTGATTTCTGATAAATTGGAAATTTTGATAATTCTAAAAAGAAATCTTCGATATATTAATGTTAAATATTATTTTAAATATTTATTTAAATTTCATAATATATTTGTTTATTACTTATTATGTATATAGATTAATGTTGTTACTTATTATATAAAAGTGATTTATAATAAAAATATTTTATAAACTTTTAGGCAATAGAATTGAATATAAACTATAACTGATCATTATAATATATTTAAATGACATAAGTTATGGTATAATTAAATTATAGATGTTATACTAATAAAAAGTATATTACAAGTTAAAACCATTGGTATCTTTACAGAATACAAAATTATATATGATATCGGATCGGTTATCGGCCGATATCAATTTAGTATCTGGAATATCGGATCGGCCTCCAAAAAGTGGTAGGTACACCCCTAATATTTACCCTAAAAATATCAGCCAATTTCAGCCATAGACATTTTAAGTATTTTTTTTTAAAATTTATATGAAATATCCATATGAAAAATTAATATAAATTAGAAGTAGTTCAGTTCTAAAGTTCAAGGCAAAGTTGTTTGATATTTACAGTTTTGGATACTCTACACATGCTAGAATACATTTCTGGTTAAATCGGATTTTTAAATTTTTTTTAAATGGCCCCTCGATAAAAGATTTAAAATTGAGAGATTCCGAATCCCCATCAGTGTTGTTAAATTATCTAACTTTGACCATCTCGATTGTGACTTAGTATAAAGCTTTTTAGCCTAAAAAATCCAATCAAGCCTCTAAGTCGAGTCTCGACTTGAAGATTGATTGGATTTTTTTTGGTTAAAAACATGGCTAAGCTGTTTTGTAGTTGACTAAGGAAGGGAGTTTAACGATACTAATCCCCATACTACACACACGCATATATATATCAGCATTATTATATAAATTAAATGTTTATTTTTACTGTTCTGCGGCTATATACGTTATTATAGCATAATTATTTTTTTCTTTGTTATATAATAAGCAAACGAAAAGTTATAATACGTTATTATTATTCGCTTCGTTTTAACTTATAATTTAATTTAACCAAAAAATAAAAACAACTATTTCTTAATTCTGAGCTAAAATCCTTCACAAAAATTACAAATTTTTTTTTTTAAAAAATTTGAAATATATTTCAATTTTATGAACTTTCAAAAAGAAAATAAAATACGTTAAAATATTTTGTTTTATTAAAGTTAAATTCTAATGTTGTATAAAAATCAGAGATTTGCAGAGGTACAAAGTTTTTTTCGGCCCTGTCCGGGTATAGTTGAAAAATTAAAATATGACCCGGCACGCGTATCCGGGCCGGGCCTGCAGGTCTACGCTAAAAATAATATTAATAATAACAAAAAATGGCAATGGAAGCAACGCTCCCCCCCCCCTCTTGGCTTCTGATGGATGCTTCGACACTGATATATATATATTATAAATATTATTTGTACCTCGGAAATGTATTTCGATAAATTGTGTTCCATTATTTCCGCTATTTTGCTGACAGTTTCATCGACATGCATTGAATAATCCTAAAAAAAATAGAGATATGGCCAGTGTTCGTTAAAGGCGGCGATTAACCTTTGGCGCGATCGCGATTTAACAGCTGATTGATTTTTTTAAATCTGTTTTATGAGATCAATTATTCTTTATTAAAATCATTATTCCTTAGATTATTATTTAAATTTGAATTATTAACAAATAAAAATTGATCTCATAAACAGATTTTAAAAATCAATCAGCTGTTAAATCGCGATCGCAATCGCGCCACTATGAATTCAAGGTAACCCAATAATTTAGGCCAAAAAAAAATATTACGCAAGGCCTTGAGATTTTGCTCGTAGATGGCTGAAAAGCTTGGACATCTGTTAACCAAAAATTTCTAGAGCATGCGCAATATTAATTTGGCTAAAATTTAAAATCGACTAGATAGAGGAGCCGTTAAACAAAGCTAGATTTGACGTCACTTACCCTTTGCCCCTTTTATATATTCCAATCAGCTAAAAAAAACATGGTTTCTTAAAATGCACGTGACTTTAATTCCGAATGTTCATATTATTGGCGCCCGAAACCCGGCCCGGGGGTTTGTCGAAAAGTCACCTGATGAATCAGTGAACATTCAATTTAAAAAAAACATAAAACTTGGGGTAAAAAATTAACCTTTTTTAAACATCCAGGTAGGTCTGGAAAATGAAAAAATTTTTTAATATGGGAGGATGACGATTCATTCATTAAATCGCATTTTGACGCATCATTGAATACAAATCAGCTGGCGACACGCCATTTTGTTTTTACATATATGGAACTTAGGTATATGTTTATACGGGAAAACAAAATCGTCTGCCACTATCTAATTTGCATTGATATGAATGAATGAAATTTCCAGTCTACGTATTATCAAATATCACCTCTAAAGATTTTATATTATCGTAAAAATTATTTACTTTATATATGACGTCAAAATTTTTCGACAAATTTTTATGATTCGAAAAAAGCGTGTCTCGTGACCAACGATCAGCCATATTGTACACGAATCGAATTACGAATCTTAAATTTGCGAGTGAAAGTGCTAATAAAAAAAATGGAGGGATTCATTATCTAATAAATAAAACCTATATTTTTTCTTCTTTTCTTTCTTTCTTTTCTTCATTCTTTCTTTCCTATCTTATTTTAAAAGATGGAATATGAATATATGAAGGACTACGGTTTAAAATAATACTAAAAATAATGATGTTTATAGTTATCGAGAACTAACGCCGCGTTTATATTAAGCGCGATTCGCTCGAGCGATGCCAAATTTAATCGCTAGCGAAATATCAGCTGATCCATCGCGGCGATGATACATTTTGAAATGTACCTAAGCAGCTGTCGCGATTTCGTAATTTCGCTCTCAGTATCTACAAATCATACCTATTACTGGCTTGGTTCGGTAAATTACGCAGCGGAAAAATTTGCGTCGCTTAAGAATTACGTTTATTATAAATGCAGCCTAGAGCCTCATTTACAGTAAACGTGCTATGTCCAAACGTTGAGGTAAATTAACGCTATCGAAATCGCAGCTGATTCTTTGTAGCATTAATTATTGAAAAGATTACGTTCGCAACATATGTTTTCCAAATTTTATCGTAGCGTTATCATTATAAAGCTCTTATTTTTATAAATTATACTTATTTATTGACTAGATTTTGTGTTAAATAACGCAACGCTTGAAACATAACGCGTTTACTATGAACGCAGCGCAAGGTTATGTAAATTTCGGATCTCCAAAGAAAAAATATATTTATAACAAAAGGTTATAAAAAGCTATGAAAATTTATATAAAAACAAATTAAAAAACATTGTTTTTTTTTAAAAAAATAAAATTTATTTTAGGTGTATAAGTGTTAGTCCATTGAGCCGATTTTTAAAAACGGTTAACTCAATATTTTATCCAGAAAAATATTACTCAAGACTGAAGATTTTGCTCGTAGACAGGAACAAAGGTCTAGATATATAATTACCGAATTCTCAAGAAGACTTAGGCAATATTTTTTTCTGGGTAAAATATTGGGTTTAACAACAGTACTTTTAACCCATCACTACAATGACGGTAATTATTCCCATTAGAGTCTATATATAAAGTTACGTCTGTCGCAAGATCACAAGATCTAATTTCTATTCGTACTATTTATTATTATAATGTTATTGTTAAATACCTAGATGTTTTATAGTTATCGATTTCAAACCAGCTGATTTGATGGCCCCAGCGCCGAGTAGCAATTGATAGTTCTTAGAATTGTGTAACTTTATAGCAAAAAATATATATTAAAAAATAAAGAAATCGATAAAATGGAACATTCGAATCGTAAATCGCTAAATGCCCGCTAACGCTATTTGTTGATACTGGGTCCCGGTTCAACTTATTTTTTTGAGACTTTAGGCTAAAATATCTTTATGAACTCAGGGAACCCTATTTTTGGTTCGGTTTAATGTTTTTGATATTTTTTGGGCTTATATTTTGTTTTTTTTCGTGTTTTTTTTTGAGTTGTTTAGTTAATAAGCTTAACCAGGTGGGGGCAGAGCCTAATTACTGGTAACTTTTATCTTAAAATTTAACAAATGTCGAAACCAATGGAAAAAATAGAAAAAGAAATGAAAGTTGCAACATCATTCCACTTCGAATATTTACTTAATAAGGCTATTGTTCCTAAACCGGGTTTAAAAAAATTTACAAAAATTTTAAAAAAAAGTTTGAGAAGTTTTTTTAAATTTTAAAATTTAAGTTTAGGACAATCTTTTTTTATTTTTATATTAAAAATAGCCTATTTCTTCTTTCTTTTCTTTTCTTTTCGTTTAAAGTTTCAAAAGTTTACGAATTAATCATAATTTTTTATATTTAGGACAGAACCTAAAATTCAAAAATCCTATTTAAATAGCGCGCTTTTAATAATCGATAAAATATAAATATTCCTTCCGCAAGTTGTCGCGATTATGATTACGATTATTGGGTATCCAACATGATGAATCTTTTTTAAACAACCTAGAACTTATGATTTTGCGCGATACTATAAGCACCGTATCCGTTGTCGGGAAATTTAAAATTGTTTGGTTGGGCATTTCGAAAACTACGGAACAAATAGAGACCGGTTTAAGGACAACTCATTAAACCCGGGGTAAAATAGATGTGGGACAGGTTCGGACCCTTATTTTAAAATCGGTTTCGAATAAGTTCCAATTATCAAAATTCCCATTAAATGAAATTTAAATTTCTTGAACCTTGGTTCGGGTTCACATCCCTGGTTGGTAGGATTGGTTTGACAGGAAATTTAGGGGATGGAATTGGATTTAATCTTATTGGATTTATATTGACAAATGTCGAAACCAATTTTATTTTTAAAAAACTCTTTTTATTCAAAAAAAATCCTATTTAAATAAGCATACAATGAATAGCGTTTTCAGTGATAGATTAAATATAATAATTCCTTCCGCGAGTTGTCGCTATAATTAATAACGATTATTGAGAATCCAAAATAAATAAAAAAATCAAGGCAAATGATAATCAATTTTTGTAAAATTTTTTTAAAAACCTTTAATAGATGAAATATGGCGGAGGCGATAAATCTGGAAGCGAACGGAAAACGCTCAGCCAAACAGTTATACAAGAGCACGTACTTTAATAGGGCGAACGTTGAGCTAAAAAAAAATTTTTGTACAAAAAAGTTTTTTTTTTTTTAAATTTGAGGAGACATAATGTCGATCCCCAAAAATTTATTAATGGGCGAGTAGGAGGGGGGGGTGATGGGGCAGAAAATGCACTTTAGCAGTGCGAACAAAATGAGCGTTACAAACGCCGCGTTGCGCTCGCCAATAATGCCATTTCAAATGGCCTCGTGCAAAATTGGCAAAAATTACCGTTTGGCGTTAGCAACCATTTTGAAAAAAAAAACGCAAAACAGGTTTGCTTTTTCGTTACTTAATTTTATTTTTCGCGTTTATAAAAATGTAATTTAAATAACTTTACTTATAATCCTAAAAAAAAGGAATATTTAGAAAATTAAAGAAATAAGAAAGCAGACGATAAAATGTAATTTTTAAAGACACTAAATCCTGAAGAAGGAATATTTCGAAAATCAAAGAAATAAGAACGCAGACGATAAATATAATTTTCAAAGACAATAAATCCTGAAAAAGGAATATTTCGAAAATTAAAGAAATAAGAACGCAGACGATAAAATGTAATTTGACAATAAATCCTGAAAAAGGAATATTTCGAAAATCAAAGAAATAAGAACGCAGACGATAAAATGTAATTTTCAAAGACACTAAATCCTGAAGAAGGAATATTTCGAAAATCAAAGAAATAAGAACGCAGACGATAAATATAATTTTCAAAGACAATAAATCCTGAAAAAGGAATATTTCGAAAATCAAAGAAATAAGAACGCAGACGATAAAATGTAATTTTCAAAGACACTAAATCCTGAAAAAGGAATATTTCGAAAATTAAAGAAATAAGAAGGCAGACGATAAATATAATTTTCAAAGACAATAAATCCTGAAAAAGGAATATTTCGAAAATTAAAGAAATAAGAAGGCAGACGATAAATATAATTTTCAAAGACAACCTCAATTTAAACAAGGGACGGGTTACGTTTTTTTTTTTAAATTTAAAAAATTACGGTAAGAAGTAAATGTCCAATTTGTGGGAACTATGAATAAATCACTTCTTTTATTTTTTTGAGTTTATATATATATCCTTATTTTATAAAAAATAACAAATGGAATCTCTAAAATGGCGGCAAAACCGCTAACGCGTGCCTAGGCCCAGCTAGAAAATAATTTAGGCGCGCCTAAAATACACATACTTTAGCGGAAATGTGTTATTTTTCAAACCGGAAATGTTATTCCAAAATAACCTACCCTTATGAATTTTCAGACAAATTTTTTTGCTATTGAACTTTAGATGTTTAAATCTAAAACAATGGCGCTTAAAAAATTATTTAAAGTTTAAAAAAATTACACATTGGCGCTAAATAAAATATATATTAAAATTTTTACCAGCATAAGATATAAGATTCGTTTTTTATGAGCAAATTGTTGATAAGTTTATCACGACCTAAAAAAAAAAATTAAATAAGATTGATAGATTTATTTTTGACTTTAAACTGTCATAACTAAGAGTGACATCTCGAATTTCTAGGGAAAAAAAACGAGGGGAGGGTGAACAAATACAGAGTCTAGGATCACTGTGGGGTAGTGGTTGTTAAAGGGCTCGATTAGGGCCAATTTTAAATTAACATAATCAAGATTTCATTAATAGATTTCCAGACCTATCTGTCATCTATTAGCAGAATCTTTTAGAGATGCTCGCGTAATATTTTTTTTAGGCTAAAATATTGGGCTAGCCATTTTTAAAGAATCGATCCGTTTTAACAACACTATCCCTGGAAAATAAATTATAAGAAGGGATGAGAGAGGGGTAAACCCTACCCCCCCCCTTCCGCCTTCTTTACACGATAATTTCCATAGATTAAAATAAATGCTTTATTTTCGGATTTAAGCCTCGCGATGCACAGCGTCTCCGCCTCATTTCCCCGCTTACCATAAAATGAAACGAGGCCAGGTCTTTCAAATTAAATAAAATTATATTAAAAAAAAAGAGTCGTGTCCTAAATATCGAAAATCTAATCGGTAAACATTAGAAAACTTCAGCGAAAATAAAAAATAATTGTAAGATAAAAATTTAAAAAACTTCTGAAAGTTTTTTTTTATTTTTGCGAATTTTTAAACTGGATTTAGGACATATTCTAAAAAAATATATATAAATATATTATATATACTTTTAGTTTGAACGAAGTCTGTTATTAGTAAGTCGGAAGCTGTTAATAAAATATATATATATATAAATAAATAGGATAATTAAATAAGCAAGACTACTAACTCGCGTCTATGTCTAAAAAAATGCCAATAATGTCAATCAAATTTTTTTCTTTCTCTAGACATGTGTACAAACATATCTACCGGATCTAGTATAAATATGTGGGAAGATAAAACATTTTCGTAGTAAAAATTTGGTGCTTTAACCCCCTGTTTCACGAAAATTGATATTACGACAGGGGCTGGCAGGTCCATAGCTCTTAAAAGGCGAGGTATTTAAATAAATATACCAATTTCTACTAATATTTCATTTCTCAATAAATTACGCCAAAGAACTTTAAAAAAAATGATTAAAATATAAAAACCTCGAGATATTTAAAATTAAAGGGATCTGTCCAAACCTTTTATGCCATCTACAAATGACATATAATAATACCTAAACTGACGACGCGTACATAATAATGCATTTGAAAGCGCCGTTGAATGCAAATCAGCTGGAGCCGCCATTCTTGGTAACCCATATAGTAAATTATTCTCATGTTAAAAACTACTATATATTTTCTAATATTTTTTTAAAATTAAAAAACAAACAAATATATATTATCCTAATTTTATGAATAGGAATAAATTGGCTTCTCGTTTAAAATTTCTTAATAATGATACGGGTAACCAAAATGGCGTCGCCAGCTGTTTTTCATTGATGTACACTTTTAATGAATGCATTGTCGGTCTAAGGTATTATTATATGTCATTGGTCATCTATCAACAAACTTCAGGCATGCGCAGTTAATAAGGTATTATACACTAAATAAAAACGTAAAATTTTGGGGATATTAAAGAAGAGCCCATATCTTCGGGGGCGGAGTAATTTTTAGTTAGCGTGTACCTAATGGTGTTAAACGGTTCGATTTGAAGCCATTTTTAAAAATGACTAACAAAAAAAATATTACGCAAGCCTACGAAGTTTGTTAAATAAGATGGACGGGCATTATTGTGATGGACATCTATTAGCGAAATCTTTATTTCTGGCTAATAGGCCCAAATGAGCCGTTTAAAAAACGCTATTGTATTACCCTATCGTCATATACAAATTCAAGTTGAATCTCCATTTTGTTTCGTTATGGAACGCTACATTTATATATAAATTGTTTTATAATATACCGCTGTGCGTGATAAAATTTTCGAAAATGGAACCGAATCTCTTGGGGAAATCGAACGGCTTCCATTTCTCCGCCGATAATATTGATCTATATCAATCAAAAAAAAAAAAATTCGATCAAAAATTGAAAATACATCTATAAATTTTTACGATCAATTTACAACAAAAAAATATTTGGATCGGTTCTGATTATTAATTTTTTTTAAAAAAAAATCTATATCGATTATCGGATTTTTTAAAAATCAATCGATTATTCCGGCCCCTTCCCAAACAACCCCGGTTTGTATTGTATCACATTAATTACTGTAAATCGCGTTTGGCTCTTTGCGCGTAAAAATTTAGCGTTTGGGATACTAGTTTACGTAAAACGTTCAGAAAAATCTGGCCCTGTTCGTCCGATAAAGCGCTCTTCCGATATACTATGTCCTTTCCGTTGTTGAGGTACCCATTGAGAACCTTGCCGCCAACCCCTTTGCTATCATTGTCCTCTTCGCGAATGGCGTTATCGTAATTACTACCGTGACTTATGTCGCCGTTGAAGCAAGACGTGTCATTTATCGATAAAGAGGAAGCGGTTAGGGCGACGCCGCTTTCGTTTTCGATAACGTCATCCTCCGCTTCCTCGGGCCCATCGAAGGGATTTTTGTCGTCGGGATATAAGGAAGGATTAGAGGGAGGAATATCGGCGATAAATACGCGATCCTTCACGTCAATGTTCTCGCATTCGGGAAGCGGTATGCGATTAGGTATTCCACGCTTCCCGCGAACACCCAAGTTTTCTTCACTATGGTGTCCCTCACTTTCGGGACTCAACAAAGCGGGATTTTGTGAGACGAGTCGGGATAAATTGAAATCCGTGGTCCCGAAAAATTCGCGAGAAATTGTGTATAGGGTGTGAAAGGATTGAAATGCGTTCAGGAGCGCGTTCTCTTCTCCCAGCGCGCCGCGATTATGATTAGATAAATTTTCCTCGGGGCGTTTGATTTGATCCGCTTCGTCTTGGTCGTTAAATAGGTTGGTAATAAATACCGGATTCTGTAAAAAAAAGGTTTTAAATTTGGTTTAAAAATTGGCATAAATAAGTCATATTTAAAAAAAAAACGCAATTTATTATTAACTTTTCACGTTTGTTAATAAAATAAAATCTAATCAATGGTCTTAATTTTTGTAATTACCTGTTCTTTTCTTCTCCGTTTAATGGCGATTTCCAGGGTTTACCCGGGTTGGCCAGTTTTCCGCTCTTCTAAACAACCGGATGCCCATCCTGACATCAATCTCTTTAGGTGGTTTTTAAACACCGTCGAGGAGACGGTGACATTTTAGACCCTCCATTAGACGTTACCACTTACCGCCACGATTTTAATAAAGTTACAATTCTTTACATTCTTACTTGGCAACCAGTGCCATAATAAATACAATTTATAAACCTATTTTTTTTTGTTAGAATGTGTCCCTAAAATATCGAATTCACAAAACTTTCGAAAAATTTTTTAAACGAATAAATAGTTAGGCTATTTTAAATATAAAAAATTTTTTAAAAAACTTTTTAAAGTTTTAAAATTTTTCGAAAATGATTTAGGACATATCCCGAAGAAATAATATTTGTTTTTTTTTATATATTTAAAAAAAAAAATACCATTCGTGTATAAAACAAAATCAGCAGCATCGCTTATGATGATTCGATATTAAACATTTTTTTTTCTTTCTCTTTCAGATCCGACTTACCGTGTTAATGACTCCAACTAAACAAAAAATAGGGGAGAAGACCGAAGACCGACAATAAAATAAACTGACAGGACCAAAAACCCGATAACAAAAGTGGACAGATTGGTCTTTCATAATATCCATTAAGAGCCGGGATAAAAACTATCGAAATGTTTCATTTTACTTAACCTTTTTTTTTAAAATTTGATTTCCTCTTATTTTATTATTTTCTGTTTTTTTTTCTTCCTTCTTCCTTCTATAGATGCATTTGTAATATTTTTTTCTTACTTTTTTTTGGAATTCTTCTCCAGTAGTGTTGTTAAACGGTTTGTTTTGTGCCAATTTTTTAAAAACGGCTAACTCAATACTACATCCAGAAAAATATTACGTGAGACCTGAAGATTTTGCTCATAGAAGGAACAAAGGTTCTAGACATATATTACAGAAATCTCGAGGCTTAGGAAATATTTTTCTGGCTAAAAAAGCCGTTTAACAATACTATTCTCCAGATGCATCACTATTAAGTAACCACTTTTGTGGAGCTAATGTTTTGGTCAATGTCTTCTTCTTCTTCGTTTTTTGGCGATTTCTACCCAGGTAGGCCAGTTTTGCCTCTGATTTTTCTTTCCCATTTTTGACGGTCCTGAGCATCGATATTTGTAAGATTCACGCTTCTCGTATCCGCCGCTATGAAATTTGCCAAAGTCATCTTGGACCTTTCTCTAGGTCTTGATCCTCCTAATTCCATCAAGGCGCATCTCTTTACCCAGTCATTTTGGCACAATGTATTGTAAATTTTATAGGTTTATTTAATGGTAGAGCAAACGACAGGTTTAAAATCAAGATGATAATAAGGATACTTGGTCATTAAAAAAAAATTAACCAATCTCGATTCTGTATTTGACTGAAGGAATAATCACAAATAAGATACATTTTTTATTATGTTCCATTTTAAATCTAAATTTTATTAATAAAAAATTATTAAGCGATCGCCAAAAATATTTAATATTAAATTATGATTAATTATAAATATCACATTTAAATTTATATTCTACAAAATATAATCGCGGACAAGAATATTTATATAAAGGAAAATTGCTCAAAATTCTCAGAGATTATAAATTTATAAAAATATTTCGCATTTTGAAAATATTTATAACGGTCTTGACCGAATGCAAAGAACGGTTAAAATCGATCAGGTCCTACCCGTTTTCGGTCTGGACCGTTGACCTCTATCTAATTATCAATCTATCTATCTGTCTATCAATCTTTCTATCAATCTCTATTTATTTCTATCTAACATCATATTAAATGTTAATTTATATCGTACGAAAGAGAGGCTCCATTTCTCCAATAATTTAACGCTCTCGTCCTCCAAATATTTGTCGATATCCCTCAAAACGTTATTCAGTTTGTTGGAGGCTCTGTTAAAATCTTTTTGGCTACGGTTGGAGAGGGAATCGTTACGTAACGTTTTTGTTTTCCACCATTAGCGGGGCAACCGAAAGAGAGAGAGAGAGAAAGAATTAAAATTACGATTATTAACTAAATTACGATTTCGTGATGAATTAGAATATACGGAGATGATTTACCCTTTAAGGGGATCAAACCCAAATTATAATTATTTTTATTTCAATGGTTCAAGTTATTTCGGCACGAAGCTTGATTACTGGAATTATTTCTAATGAGCGTTGCTAAACTGCCCCATTTGGTCAATTTTAAATTTTAAGACGTAAGCCAAAATAATATTATGCACTAGATGTCGTTAAAGGATGACAAAACCTTTTTGCCATCTACGAATAAAATCTCCAGGGCTTGCGCAATATTTTTTTTGGCTAAAATATCGGGGCTAATCGAGCCGCTTAACGGCACTAAATTGTATCCACCAATGTTTTTCATTTTTAAAAGAAAAACGAATTTCCGTGGCCGTAGATCAAAGATCAAAATGGCGGGAGATTTAAATCTTGCCGATATACCTTTTCTATCCTAAGGGAAAACTCCGATATATCAAGCGACTGCCCATTGTTTTTAAGAGAACATTTCTATAATGAAAGGACTTTATATGTCCAAAAAAAAAATTTTTCTTTCTTTCTTTCTAATCTCATATTACACAAAAAAAAATGTATCATCATCTACATTACGAATATTTATGAAATATCAGGTTATGCCAATCGGTAAACGATTCGTTTATTTTGTCGCGAATCGTATTCCAGAAGACGTGTTGCGAGTTGGACGCGTTCGAGGAGGAGGCGAAGAGGAGAATCGATATCAAAAACGCGAATAGCTAAAAAAAATAATTTTATATAAATTTTTTACTTTCTTTAGGCTTGTGTGTCCTAAATGTTTTGAAAATAAAAACCTCAAAATTTATAAATTTTGGCAAATTAATAAAATTATGAAACATGAGATATATCTTCCATTATTATGTTTTACGTAATAAAACGAAAAAAATAAAGAAATAAAACGAAAACAAACAAAAAAAAACGAGAATAAAATACAAAAATTACTAGTTTTTTTCATAAAAATTATCCAAAATTAATAAATTTTTTGTAAAATGACGAAAAATGATTTAGACCACTATTTTATTTTTACACTAAAAATAGCTTATGTTATTTTTTTTCCTTCAAAATTAATAAAATTATTTATTCTATATTTTTTTTATATTTAGGACACAGCCTTAAAATAAAATTCTTAAATTTTTACGATTCTACAAAAGATTTTTTTTTGCTCAACATTTTGGGCAAATAAAAAAAAATCTTTTTTCTTTCAAACTCTAATAATTAATCGATATGCCGAGGATTTAGAAAATTCCCTTCAATGAGAGACCACTACATCATTTCTAAACAGGGTCCAGAACCGTGATGTATAACGGGTTACGGTTCGGTTAAACTCCGGCTATGGATTCAGTCGTTATAACGGTTCGCTCCGGTTTTAAATATATTTGATCCGGGTTTTCGTTCCGTCTTGTTCGGATACTCTAAAACCCGATTAAAAGTAATAAAAAAAATATGGGAGTAACCTTGACGTTCGAGATGTGTCGCGTTAATAGGCAAAATACGTTTCGGAAAAAAGTAACGAGCGCGTTTAATGTCAGGTTCGGAAAATTTTCGATAAGGGTGTGACCAGCGTTATCGTATTCGTAATTTGAATGATTTTGATTGAAGGATGAGTTATTAGTTGACGGTTTAGAAATGCAGTGGTGAATTGTAGATTTCAATTGCTTTTTTTTTAAAAATATAGTAAAAATTCCATCATAAATCGATTAAGTCAAACCCAACCCACTTCACATTATAACATTTTTGTAAGATGATAATATATTTTATTTATTATTAAAAAGTATCCCCCCTACACTCCCAGTTACTTATGGAAATGAGCTTTCTTTGAAGAAGAGAAAATGTATACGTAATTTATATATTTTTTTAAATATCTCGAGATAAGTAATATAAGGCTATAATGGATAGCGAAGGTCGGCAAATGGCAAAATTCTCTGGACCGGGCTGAGTGGGAATTTAGTGGTTGCCTGGCACACCCAGAAAATTTTTATGGCCCTATCCGGTATGGCTTCAATTACTTTTTTTTACTAAGGTTACTCAGCCAGACCCAGTATTTTATTAATTTTGGGGAGTGGTTATAATATCAAAAATCATATAAAGATGGCATTGAAATCTTTTTTTGCCCAACCCCGGCACATATAAGATAATTTCTAGATGTGGCCCGGCCCAGCTCAAAAAAACCCCAAAAAATAGAAAAATGATAAATATAGCCGCAAACGAATTTGCCATTATTTCATAGTTATAAACGTGTTTAAAGATTTAAGATATTTTCACATTTATAAAAAAAAACATGTATATTTATTTTGATATAGATGACGAATATTTACATTAAATTTTATGTTAAGAGAGTTTAAAAAAAATGATCCAAAGTGGTAAGAGTTATGAGAAAATCAATTTTAAAAAAAGGAATATCTAAACGTAGATAATTTTTTAACATATATATTTCAATAATATGAAGCTCCAATTATATACACATTTTAGGATTGTTAAAAGGCTCAATTCGATCTAATTTTTATAAAAAGGCTAACTCAATATTTTATCCAAAAGAATATTGTGCCAGCCTAAATATTTTGCTCATAGATAACACATAGGATCGAACATCTGTTGGCGAAATCCCGACGCTCAGGCAATGTTTTCCTGGCTATAATGTTGAGTCAGCCGTTTTTGAACATCTGCTCAAATCGAGCCGTTTAACAACACTCATACATTTAAAGGCCTTAATAATTTAATCATATTTTTTTTATAAGATTTATATTAAACCCATTCCAACTTATCTTATATTGCCCCCCGCCCCCCCCTCTCCCCTCTTCAGCTAATCTGGTATCCTATTTTATTAAAAAATAATTATTGGAAATCAAAATTTTGGGATCAAAAAAATGGATTAAATCAGTTTATGCCGAACTGGGCTAGTGTGGCACAATCTTTTGATCAATTAGCTCGATAGGAGAAAACATTTTCTCTCTTTTTGAATGGAGCCAGATACGCGAAAAATAAATGGGTCCAGATAAATTCTAATTATAACGATGATATCGGTCTACCAAAATCGTCTTCAATGCCTCCCCCTGGGTGCTCCTAAATGGAGAGTCTTTTGAGAAGGTAAATTTATTAACTTCCAAACAACCTTTTTTGTGATTATAATAATATCACATCTCAATGGGATCCAATTACCGGGTTGAGTAAGTTACATTAAAAATTTAAAGGAAAACTCACGCCAGCTATGATGTTATCGATATGGGAACAACTTTCTTCTTTGAGGTACTCGATGAAAGATAGGTTTCGGAGATACAACAATCCCAAAACTACAGAACTCAGCTCGACCAACAAATTTTCCCATTCTCCGACCTTCAAAACTTCTTCGAAACTTTGAAAGTTCTGCGTGATGTCTTTCGAGCGAGTCAGAGAGTAATTTTGATTCAAATCGAGAGACTTTGTGAGCAAGGAGGATAGTTTGTTCTCCATTTTGGCGGAAAAACCTTTGATCTGGTTAGGGTTGGTTGAGGGGTTTATATTCAAAGATTTATCTTTATCGCAGAAGTGACGGGTTATGATAGACGTGTAATCTGCCCACAGCATTCGAAATATTAGATTTTCGATCTCGAGCAGCTGAGCATCCAGATACCTATAAAAAAAATAAGAGAATTTTTAAAAGGATGGATGGATAAATTTTTAGACTTAAGATTGCTAAGATCAGTAGAACAATTAGTGAAGATATGGGTGGCTAAAGAGTTCAACCCGTGCTATCAATAATTATTATGATTAATATGAATAGGGAGAGAGGTAAGATAATAGACAAAAAAGTTCCACTGTAGTTATTAAATACTTATTTTTTAAAAAAAACCTACGATTGGATAGTGTGTCTCTATAAATAAAAAGTATTTTACATAACAACCAAATGGGAAACTCGGCAAAAATTTCTACTATAATAAACCCAGAAATGTACGTAGAGCAGAGACCTGCAAAGGTACCATTTGTACGGCCCGGCCCGGATTTTTACAGCTTAACCCGAGTTTTATATTTACAAACCCGGTCTAACCCGGGTTCTTTCTAATAAAAAAAATTTCAGGCCCGGCCCGAATATATTTAAAAAAAATTAAAATACGGCTCAGCCCGTGTACACCGGCAGGGCTTAGGGCCGTACCTGCAGGTCTCTGATATAAGGTAAAGCTTTCGTTACCTAAAACTTCTGACTCCTTTGAGTTCCTTGCTTAGCACGTCCCTCGATGACGACACCAGGTCGAAGGCGCTCACGTATTCGTTGTTCGCTAGCAAAATTTGAAGCGTAGGCTGAGATTGACATAATATGGCCATGATTTTTAACTTTTTTGAATTATGGTTAATAAGTAAATAAAAAAAATGTATGATTTTTTTTTTTTAAAAAGCATGCCCGATTCCTATTGGTCGACTATATATAGTGTCTATAACGTTGCCGCTTTCGGGCGCGTTTAAAACCCATTCTGATTTTCGAGTTCGTTTAACTGGTAGTGTCCATTTTCCCCTTTAAATCAAACGTTATCTAACCCTGCATTCACGGTTAGCACAAAATTCGCGGGTATAAAAGTTTAAGTTAGGGTTGCATTTATAGTAAACGCGTTATCTTCAAGCGTTGCGTTATTTAAAGCAACGTATTTTTTACAAAATTAAGTCTAGGTAAAAATTTATAAATATGGAAGCGTTATAATAATAACGCTACGATAAAATTTAAATAACACATGTCGCGACGCGTTGATACAAAAATATGCGTTTCCGATTATAAAAATAAATAGCGAATTCGATAAATAAACAATGGTAGTATGAATTTTTTCTTGAAATTAACTTTTTTTAAAAACTGAATCAGCTGTAAACAAGGCAACGTTCGAAACATAACGCGTTTACTAAAAATTTGGAGTAAGCATTTTTTTTAAAAATAATACTTCAGTACAGATATTCGTGCTAAATATGAATGCAGGGCCAAATCGCTAATCCCTAGAAATTCCTAAGCCAACAACGAGAACGAAAGATGAATAGGAAAAGAGAAATATAAAGACGCGAATTCGAATTCGAAAAACGCGAGTACCTTGTCGCGGATTTTGTGGTAATTAGATAGTTTGATTTGCAATCGCAACAATTTGGCAGTATTTATGGCGTGTTGGGAATTGTAGACGGATATGAAATGCCTTCGATATAATAATTTAAAAAAAATGGATATAACTTGATTTAAACGGATTTTTATCTGTGTATTCCAATGACATATAATAATACCTAGACCGAAGATACATTAATTAAAAGTGTACATCAATAAAAAAAACAGCTGTGGACGCCATTTTGGCTACCCATTCTTTTTTTAAAATGAACATATTTTCGAATAACATCAATCTGGATCATAAAAATTAGGATAATATGTATTTTGTTGTTTTAAATTTAAAAAAAAAAAATTAGAAAATATAATAATAGTTTCTATAACATGAGAATAATTACCATATGGGTTACCAAAATGGCAGTTTCAGCTGATTCGCATTTCAACGACGCTTTCAGGTGCATTATTACGAATGCATCGTCAGTCTAGGTATTATTACACATGTCATTGGTGTATTCATAATCACAAAATAATCCAAAAAATAATAAATTAAAAACCACTAACCACAAAAAAAAATATATAATAATAATAAATAAAAACTTGAATACGTAAAAACCTTTTTTTTTTTGGTCGATCGAAATATAAAGTCAACCCTTTCTTTTCCTATAATCTAAAAAACGCGAAAATCTCGAGACGCAGATTTGATTAGAGATCTGCAAAGTTAGGCCCGGCTCGAACGGGTTTCGGGCCGGGTTCGGGCCTAATTCCATTTAAAATAATCGGGTTCGGGTCGGGCCCGGGTCGGGTCGGACCTTGGAAATTTTATTAAATATATCTTAAATTTATCAATAATTTTGTATCGAATTTTTTTTTATGTAAAATAGAAAATTTTAGATTTAATTCATTCGAAACTAAACTCTACATAACATTATGTTTTCTATTTTATGTAATTATAAAAAAATTAATTTCCTATATTTAAATAAATATCGGGTTCGGGCTTGAAAAATTTGGCCCGATGCAGAGATGCAGATCACTAGATTTGATATCGTTCCTTATTTTGTCGAGATTTTCGAACAACGTCCATATCATAATAACAATGATAGTAGTTATAAACCCTAAATTCGCATATTGATATTTATAGTGCGAACAAATGGAGCGTTTCCGCGTTGCAAGCGCCAATAACGCCTTTTAAATGGCCTCGCGAAAAATTGGTAAAATTATCGTTTGGCGTTAGCAAAGGCTTTTCATTACTTTTGTTTATTCTTCGCTTTTTACTGAATATTATATATAATAAACAACTTTACTTGGAATCCTAGAAAAGGGAATATTTAGAAAATTGAAAGAAATAAGAACGCAGACGATAATATAATATTCGAAGACAAATCCTGTTTTATATGAACTTCATTTAAAATTTGGGTCATTCCATGACACAATCAACCACGATTCGGCGACCCCCCCCCCTTCGATATTTTTTAAAATTTGATAAGCAAGGAAAGGTCAGTGTAACTAAGAAACAGCCAAAATTTTAGCCTCCTAACATTTATATTTTTGAAGTTATTGGCATTCAAAGCGGCAAAAAATGACGTATTTTTTACCTTTATCTGCCTTGATTCAATTAATCATATCTTACAAAACTACATAATTGTAAATAAAATTTAATTTCAAAATTACCCACCATTTTATTTAAATATATAATGACTAAAAAAGATTTTTTTTGGAAATAATACGACCTTCAAATTTTTTTTTAAAAAAATTTAGTTGATATTACTAAACTCTTCCTTTGTATTTATAATAAAAAAAATTGGGCTGGGAAGTGGCCATATTTATTCTCAAAAATCGATAAAATGTTTAGAAAATAGATATTAATCAGTTTTTAATGGTTTTTTTGAACTCTTTGATATAATTTAAAGGATTATTCATCTTGTAACTAAAAATAACATATCACACTTGACCATATAACAGAATGGTTGAAGCCGATTACAAATTAATTAAGGGTAAAATATGTTTGTATGTTTTAAAGGGCAACATATCTTCTTTGATTTAATTGGGTAAATTTGATCTAATTGTTGTAGTTTTGTAGCTATGTATTTTTGTTATATCATTATATATGAAATGTCAATCAAAAGGGATCTTTTGAATTTGAGTTTTTTTTTTGAGGATTAATGTAAAGAAGAAGATCAGATGTTCTTTTGTTGATGGATTTTTGGATGTTGTTTGTATATGTATATCAGAGTTGTTAAAGGATCTAGATCCTGTATCTAGATAGATTTTTGATTAAATAATCTGTATCTAGATATTATTTTAGACGTTGTATCTGTATCTAGATCCACTTAAAAAGTATCTTTTAACAACTCTGATGTATATTAATACGTAAATATGTTATACATTTTGATTGGATAAATATGAACCAATGATAATAAATTGATTATGGAATCTTTAGATTTTAATATTAATATTTTAGGCTTAAATACCGATGATTATCAATTTAAAATTTTGGTGGTGGCTGCAAACACATATAATATGTGTACCACAACCTCCAACGAGTATGCAATTTTTTTTGGGCAAATGCTTGCAAATTTTGAAAAACCGATTTTAACATCAGGCCTCATTAGCTTGTCTTGCCATGTAATTTTGTTGTATTACTATTCATTCATTATTTTGGACACTGTCCAATTTTCTGGTAATATCGTCAAAATTTATATATTTAAAAGTTTTAGATAAGAGTGGTAATTTTTTAAAAAAAATATTGCTAAGAATATGCTCATCTTTATCGATAGTAACTGGCTCAATCTCATTTAGAGCTTTTTTTTTAAATTGTATATCTTTTTTTCTGTCAATCTTTTCTTTTTTTTATTGGAGATTCCCCCAATAGCCGGGTTCTCTTCGGTATGATGAATATCAGGGTCTATAAATGCGTCATTTGACTTATCAGCTGTTCCGACTTTTCTTCGAACATTTATCACATGTCTTATCATCCGTGAGTTGAAGTGACATCCAAGATTGTAACATTTTTCTAAGATTCGGAGTTACATTATTATGTTTCAGTATTCTAAAAGGGTTTCAGAATCTACTTTTTCGAATAAGATTTTTGTTTCATTTTAATCGAAAATTCTATATGATAAAAAAAAAAATTAATTTATAAAAATATCACTTATTCGGATATCTAATTACGGGTGTACCGATACCACCTTTAGGATGATAATCCGAAACGATATTGCGGATATTATATTCATATTCGGCCAAATAACCGATATCGCTAATCTAATTTTGCTCGCTTTACATATTCTATATTTTAATTAACCTAGTATTTTTAGGGCTATTTATTCGATTATATTCATATATGTAAAATTATATATAAATATATAGTACAAAATGTGGTATAAATCTAATTTTTTTTGTTCCAAAAACTTTATTTTGATGATAGAAAGTAGAAAGTATATCTATCCCATCTACTATCATGGTTGAAAAAATTATTAATTTAGTTTTTACAATGACATATACAATACCTAGACTGGCGATTCGTTCATTAAAAGTGTACATCAATGCAAATCAGCTGGAGACGCCATCTTGGTTACACTGATCATTATTAAAATTTTAAACGAGAGTCTAATTTATTCCTATATCTGATGCAAACTTTATTAAAGAATTACCGGATCATCGAGAGATAATAAGGAAGCAAGTTATAAATATAAATAGTAGTTTTTAACATGAAAATAATTACTATAGGTGTTACCAAAATGGCGGGTCCAGCTGATTTGCTTTTAACGACGCTTAAAAATGCATTTTAATGAATAAATCGTCAGTCTAGGTATTAATGTCATTGAGTTTTTAAGACCATAAATATCCTCTTATAATTAATACATTACTAATTAATTATACATTTAGTTTTTTTTTATATAAAATTTATCACTTCTCAAATTATATAAGAATATTCTTAATTTCAATAAATGCATTTTCTTAAATATCGAAAACTTAAATATATCGAAAAAAATAATAAATAAAATAGACCCGATCAGAACCGATCCAATGAAAAATATCGGTACATTCCTACTAGTGTTGTTAAACCACCTATCTTTAGTCAACTATAAAACAGAGCAGCCATATTTTTATCCAGAAATATTCTTGTCAATCTTCAAGTTTAGAATCAACTTAGAAGCTTAATTCAATATTTTTAGTCTAAAAACTTGACTAAGGGTAATTTTATTTGATATTATTTTGCATTTGTGCGTTATATCATCTACTTGCTTTTTAATCATTATGATTGTAGTCTATCATTTGAATAGTGTCAAAATTTTCAATGTTTGATTTTATTTGTTCATGTAATAATGGGGTCTCTTTGTTAGCGGGGACGTATAAGACATTTGTGAGAGAAGGTTAATAAGTCTTCCCATGATTTTAAACAATTTAAGTTATCATTAACTTTTGCGATAAGTTAAATAACAAAATTTGAAATTAGGTTTCTAGATTTATTTGGTAGATGTGTTAAAGTGGGTCCTTTTTCCCATTCAAAAAATATTTCAAGAAAATCTGTGTTAATAGCGGGAGGATGAGGCTCAATAATATTTAATAAGGGTAAGGGTATTGTTATAATTTCATTGGTTGGAGATTTTTGAGAGGAAGGACATGTTGACCCTTTATAACTATGTTTATATAAAAGATTGCCCTTTGTCACTTTAATTAGTTTAGCACATATGTTACAAATTGTTGACATTTTTATTTTATTTTATTATTTTTTAACATAAGAATATTTTTATTATAAAAATTAAAATTTCTTAGCAAAACTATGTATATAGGATTATGAATATTTAAATTGATGTTACAAAATTGCTTGTTACAAGTTTGAGGGTATGTGTGATGTGCGAGAAACCTATGTCTATCCATGAAACGAAAATATTAATTTTTTAATTTTAATTATTTTTATCATTCATAAAATTAATCCAATTACTTGCCGACAAACGCGAAAATCATTACGATCTCTTTGGCCCATCATTGCCTAGACGTGCAAGATCAAAATTACAAACATAACCTCTCATAGTTTTCTTGCACATTACACATACCCTCAAACTTGTAACAAGCAATTTTGTAACATCAATTTAAATA